TTGAGTTTGTTGCCAAGACGCAAGCCTTCCCTCTCCTGAAGCTTGTGCAACTCCTCAATGTACTGCCAACGTATCAGCTGGCCATCTTCCCTAACAATAACTTTAACAGTTGCAAAGACATTGCGAAGAAGCTTGAGCATGTGACATGGGTCCAAGAGAACATGGATTTTCAGTGTGTGATCTGCTGGATGGACAAAGTATGATCTCATGTCCATTATGTCCAGATTGGCACCAAGCTCCCTGATCATGGCCATGTTTTGGGAGGGGCCATCACATGTCAAGGATACAACCCTAACTCCGATGTCATGAAGCCTACACAGACTCTCTTGAATGAGGCTAGCTCTTTCTTTCCCATTCATGCTGTTGATAAGAAAGTAGGCAATCGGGAGCTTCCAAGACTGGTTGATGGCAACAACCATGATGACCAATGCTTGTGTCGCAACAACATTTTCAATCTCACCAGCTCCGATGTCAACATAGCCATGAATCTGGTTCCCATCAAACTCAGTTTGCTTATGAATATACATTTCATCTAACATCAAAGAGCAAACAGTTTCTTTTCCTTCCTTCTTCTTCTCAAGAACATGACCTTTTAAAGCTGTAAATGAAGCAAGAGTAAAACCAGGATCTGCAGAGATACTGCTGTACCAGTTGCGAATGGTCTGTGGATGAGGCAAAGCCAAGTGAAAGTGTTCTCTAGCATAGTCATAAGCCTTAGGAGAGTAAAAATGCAGCGTAGTTGCAAATTGCTTCAAGTTCTCAGAAAAAGATGATCTTTTCTTCTGAGTCATTTTCTGAAACAACTCTTTTGGAACACCATCCAAACCATCAAGAAGAGAGGCACATTCAGTTGATATTAAAAGCTTCTTCTGAAGAATTTTGGTGACACTTTTCAAAGAAGAAATTCTTGCCTTCAGTCTCCTTGTCTTCCGGGATTGCAGTCTAAGCTTTTTCTGAACTATGCGTACCTTTTCATTTGCCGAGAGAACTCTCCTTTTAAGCGTTTTGGGAGATTCTGTGATCTGATAGCAATGGTCACTGAGGATGCTATTTGGGTGTAAACTGACAGCGTTAAACTGACCAGAGTCTGAGTCATTCTGGTGTTGAACACTGTGACCAAAATGAGCATTATCACACTCAACTGCTTGCAGAGGAATGTCATCATGTGTTACATTTTGAGTAACAAAGACCTCTTGAGGTGAATCTTCACAAATCAATATGTTGCTCAGATCAACACCAACTTTTATGGGACTGTGTAAACCTGCATCTACATCTGCAACCTTCTCAAAACTTACCTTCTCATTCCTACTTACCTGTTCTTCCCTTCTTGGAACAGGTTTTTTGACCTGAAAGGACGAGAAGATAGTAGGTACGGCTGTGTCCTTCAGGCAAACTCTCCCCTAAAATAACAAAAACATAAGTACTTAATTAAAAAAAAGAGAATCACATATAAACACATCAGACAAGGCCAGCTTCTGAAGAACACACTGGTACACCAGAGCACTGTGTGTGTGTGAGTGAATGTGCTTGCATGCATGCATGCGTGTGTGTGTGTGTGTGTGTGTGTAAAAGGCATGTGTAGTGTTTGTTATTTATAAAGCATATGTTGTTGGATTTTATCCAGAATCAAGACTTTGAAAATATACAGTTTAATTACAGTTTGATTTATTTGACATCTGTATAATGTCTATTATTTTGTTTTTTCCCCCTAAATGCCTAACATTTTAGTTTAACATGAATATTTGTCATTCATCCCAATACATAAAGTTACTCATTAAAGACTGTCCAAAAATTAATTTGTTTCTCTGAGTAATTAACCATAGAATTAGATGGAAATTAATAACATGATTGTTTCACATCTAAACAGCCCTAGTCACAGACAATTCAAGGGTGGGGAAGATGTTCTTCTAGTTACACAGCAATGTAACGTCGGTATATTATACAGCTAATGCTTCAATTTTTTAAATCTCAACCAAAATATGAAGTAATGTGTTTGTACCCTGGAGTCCGTGGTGAAGTGATGACTCTCAAAGTGTTCACTGCACAAGCGGGAGAATGAATTGGGAGTCCAACACTCTCTTCTTTGGTTGCTCACCCAAAGGTCAAGCCTCTCTGGATCACCTAGAGGAAAACTTCATACAAAGAACTAATTAAGTATATGGCTTTAAAATACTTACCGGAAATTACTGACTCGAGCGTACAGCAAAATAAGCCTCACCCCCCCAAAAAAAGAGTTTATCTGATGGCATACAGACTTCTAACATCAAGCACTATCTTCCAAACCACCGAGCTGCAGTATTTCTGCGGTCAGCTCAGGCTTGGGGAGAAAATATGACACGTCTTTAAATTAAGTAAAAATATCTACTGCAGAGAGGAGACAACCCATAGAAGCACTGATTTGATCTAATTTCAGAGAGAAATAGAACAGGAAAGATGCACCGAATAAATAAAATTAATAACAAACTCAGGAATCTGTTGCTTCACTGTTCTGGTGCTGAAAATATCACTAATGCGGATCAAAGGAGATGCACAGATGAATGCACCTCTTAATTATAATATGGAGTCTACATTTACTGCAGCTGGCAGAAGCAGACATTTTTTCTATTGATACATGGAATTAACAGAATCATTTTAAATTTTAATAGGGAAAGACTGCAGAAGGGAGCGGTGAAATACAGGGGTCCCCAGCTAAAGAAAACTTTATGAGTGTGATGAAACAACCATAGGATGAAACTAGCTAGTGATGTTCTTTCAGTAGGCCCAGTGGCTGTGCTTGGTCAATGTTATTGAGCTCAGTCCAGCTCGGCCGTGAATGAGCCGAGGCGACATCCTGCTCTGCTTAAGAAGAAGTGTTATTTTCCCGCTTCAGAAGAAGCGTCTGTGTTTTTATGCTTTCTCAGAGACAAGTCACGTTGCTAAGTTGTTAGCGCCGCGCGCTAACACGTCAATAGTGCAGCGTAGCCTGCTGGAGGTTTTAAGGGTTCAGATGAAAACACCCTACCACTCAGGCTGCTTACACATCGATATTAAGTTGTCGCTGTTGCGCTCACGCCGTAATACATTATTAGATGCGGTTAAAGTCAGACATGAAAAACTCCACAAGCGGTCAGACCGCGCAGCAGCTAGGCGCAGCAAGTAGGCGCCAGATCGGTCAGGCTGCCCGGCCTGACCGCTGGGGATTACCGGATGGAAGAATGGACACAGAAGTCTCCCTCTTAGCGCTCCGTCATATTTCAACCCATTTTTATCTTAAATGCACTGTGTTTTACCCTATTACCCATCTAAATATGCCCTATTAATTATTTTACCGTATTTTACATTTAAATTTCATGGTTAAACAGTACATGCTACATGTTAAACTGATAGTTAGCTAGCTACTTCGGTAAACTCAGCTAGTTTAAAGGTGGCATGGACATAAAATACAAATATAGATTTTAACTTACCGAAAAAAATGAAGTGGAGACTCCTTGGACGCTCTATTAGTGCAATTAATACCACTGCAAGTCATTTTGTCCAACAATTGCACCAATATTATCCAAAACAGAATTCACAAGCACAGAGACTCAAAATCCCGAAACAGCTTCCACGAGGGGCCGAGGCTGTACTGAGGCCTTTCCACGGAGCTAGCTCTGTGGTCACGTGGGTCTGAGGCGGCGGTCACGTGTGTCGGATGCTCATTAATTATACAGAATTTTAGGCTTTCAATACACTTAAACAGAAGAGTGAGAAAAAAATTCACCCCCCTCAGAGTTGTCATGAGTATAAACTAGATAATTTAGACAAAAAACATGTTTTGACACCAGGCTGTAAACATGTTTATTTCTGCTGTGAAATCGGCATTTTTAACATGGGAGTCAATGAGGATTTGCTCGCTTCTGGCACCAGCCCCCAGCGGATGAGGGTGGAACTGCAATTTTTCTTACTTCCGGGATGGGACCATTTTTAGAGCGGCATTGTGGGGGCTTGCTTTTGTCTCAGGTGTTACAGTGGCTACTTCACTCTTGTGTAAATCAATATGTATTCTCTGTCCAAACTTTAATGTCTACAAAAGAGTACCCCTTATTCTTGAGATGGACAACTTAGGAGATTTTAGGAGTTGGCTTTATGAACTGAGAAGAAGTCCCAACACTTCTCTTCCTGGGAAACTGGAGTAGGAAAGTCCAGTTCTTCTACAGGTGTCATCAACCCTTTTCCAAAGTGCTGGCTAATGGTATCATTTATGTTTCAGTTTTATTAATTTTGTTGTGTTTTACAGCAAAAATACTTCCTATTTTAACCCATCTGTCTAAAGAACGTTTAGCATTAATTTATTTTTTTGTAATTTCTTAGACGATTGCTTCACTGGACCTCATAGTGGCCTTTGTCTGATTTCCACCTCTTAGAAGAACAATCTATCAATATTTTTCGTTTCGTATTTTCGCATTTGGTCGTTCCGAGGTCTGGCTGTACTGTCAATACTTTTACGTGAGTCTGTTCCAGATTGATATTCCTGGTGATATTTATTTTTCTCTTAGACACCTGAATACTCAAGAGATGAGTGCTTACTTTCCCCCATAGCTGTATGTTCTCATTAACTTTGTTTCGGTTGGTGTTGGCCCATTGATCCTTGGAAGCATTGTTTCTAAAGCCCACTGCGCCCAGCCAGACAGGCAGCACATTGCTGCAGTATTGTGCTCCTGACTGACTGACTGATTTGTGTGTTTGCTACATGAATTACCATTCAGGTAAACACACCCAGTGCCTTTAGTTAGCTTCCTGGCCTTTTTGTCCCTGCCATGCCCTATTCCACCCTCCTCTCCATCAAGCTAGGCTTGTTTTGGCAGCCCTGTTTGTATTTTGTGTGTGTGTGTGTGTGTGTGGGGGGGGGGGGGGGGCATTGGGTCGTTCCAAGGTCTGGCTGTAGAGGAGGTGTGCCCCCACCCCACCCCAAATCATCCCTGATTCTGCTGACAAGGCCCAACTCACCATGAGATAATGCCATTCCAGAGGGATCGTGGTTAAAGCCTCTCTTTCTAGCTATCAGGTATATAAAGAGGACTCAGCTGTGGAACTAAGAACCGTGGAATCATTCTTCCCTCACTGGTCATTTTTTTCTCCAAATCTTGCTTTATTTCCATCACTTGACCTTCTGGACTCTGAACTGAGCAGACATTTCTGCTAGACTGAGCCACACCCAGCACAACGAGATCAAACTATCTCCCGTTACTATGGATATTGCTATCCAACACCCCTGGTTCAGACGTGCCCTGGGCTCCTTCTATCCCGCCCGCCTCTTTGACCAGTTTTTTGGAGAGGGAATCTTTGACTATGACCTTTTCCCCTATGCTTCTTCTACTATCAGCCCCTATTACAGACATTCACTGTTCCGCAACATTTTGGATTCCTCCAACTCTGGCATATCTCAGGTAACAGCATTGTGAAGCTGACATCATGCTTACTAAGTGAAATCTTGGTCAATATTTGGTCAGTGAAGTGCTCATCTTTCATTTATTGCTGAGTAATGTGCTAGTTTTGAGTTTACCTACACTGAATCATAGTTTCTGCTGTGCTCCATACAGTATAACGTCATGAAATGATCTTACACTGTATGCCCCTCAGGTGAGGTCTGACAGGGACAAGTTTACAGTCTACCTGGACGTCAAGCACTTTTCTCCCGAGGAGCTCAGTGTGAAGGTGACTGAAGACTATGTGGAGATCCAGGGAAAGCATGGAGAAAGACAGGTAATGCTCCTCTTTTTCTTCTGAGATGTTTAGTGAGACCAACAGGTATTGAAGGATTTATGTAATGCTCTGGGTTACAATTCTCTGATTCATAACTGCACATGAAATAAATAACATACTAATAAACTGACATAAACAATAATACTGGGTAAAAATACCTAAATAGTACAAGCTACTTGTCACGTTTGCTAATTTTTATCATTTTTGTTTCAAGAAGCCAAAAATAAAAGTACAAATAAGTTCCTTTTAAATGTGAAAGTAACAGGTAAAGATCACTGATATCTAAAAGGCTGGATACTGTTGGATATCTCACAACAAAAGCCAATGATGTTGGTCTACACGTCACGGTTAGTTCGAATCTAGTCTATGCAACAAACATTTTAATTCAATATGATTCTGTTGTTTTCCAGTCCAGTACAATTGTCCCAGTACATCTTTCATATATGCAAATGTCAGAAATAAGATTATTCTATTCATTCAAATCTAAATTGTGCAATTTTGAAAGAAATGCCACTTGCACAAGAACTAGACTCAAATACGGCTAATGATAGTGCTCATTGAGGCAAAGTATTTTGGTTCAAATTAAAGTTAGCAAGACTATTTTTAACAGTGCTTGATTTAGTGAAGTCTAGTCCTGTTGGAAGAAACACAAAAACATGTTCTCATCCAGCTTAGGAGACTGAATTTACCCTAAAGCACATGCTGTGGTCAACTTTTCCTCCTGTGAACTAATAGATGTGCTCAGTAGGTGAGTGAGTGATGATGGTATGTTACAAGCTCATACTTTTTTTTTTTTTTTGTAAAAGTAGATTTGTTTTAAGCACATTGCACACCTCTGGGATCATCCTACAAGCAACCTAATAGGCTTATACATGGTCGGGGTGGGTCTATTACCCCATTGCAAGATGTTCTCTTTGCTCTCCTAAACTGACAGTAGTTGAAATGTTCATATGTAGGCTCTCACTTTATGTGTTGATATTCTGTTTTTATTGTGTGTATCACTCGTAATGTATATGTGCTCATGGATCTGAATGCAAACAGAAGACCATATATCTAAAATCTGATTTTTTTCTTGGTTTGATCATATACCACCTGGACTGTCTTAACAATGGCATTGCTTTTCAGGATGACCATGGTTACATCGCTCGTGAGTTTCACCGCCGCTACCGCCTCCCCTCCAGTGTTGATCAATCAGCCATTACCTGCACCCTGTCAGCTGATGGCATGCTAACTCTGACCGGGCCCAAGGTCAGCGGAGGGAGTGACTCTGGTCGCAGTGATCGCAACATCCCTGTTACCCGTGATGACAAGCCCAATGCTGCCTCATCCTCCTAGAGTGTAACGGATTCTGATGTGATTAAGTTCCCAAACAATTTGATTCGTCTGGGATAACCCACAACAGAATTGTTCCTCTACCTTTTCCGAAGAGGATATCTGCTTCCTCACTTTTACTTCTGTAGTTCCTTCTTAGTTGATGCTTACAGCAACTAGCTTCATCGCTATTGAGTCTAATAAAAGTCAGCTCATAAGATAATGGTCTTAAGTGAAATGACACATTGAGACTTTTTTTACTGATTGTTACCTGAGAATACAGATGGCTGGGGATAAGTATTTAATCCCATATATTCCACCAGTAACATCCTCTGAGGCCCTGCTGACTATGACCCTTTTCTTTGTCTTCTATATAACTTGTAATGTAGCGTAGACCTTGTTCAGCGAATACCTGAACCCCGCTGAGAAGTTCATATTAAAGAAACCTACAATAAAGCTGTACACTTAAAACACTTTGTGGATTTAGTCATCGTTCATCTCAACATGTTTTAAAGACTGGTTTGGGGTAGTGAGGAGTTCTTCATTATATTAATTTAGTTTTCTTTTTCAATTGGTTTTCTAATTCTTATATCCATACACAGAGTAGCTACGTTTTTTCTACCTTGTTTGTTGATTAAACTTTCAGCAATAAAAATGTGAAAAAGAAGTGATGAATTATGTTAACTATTGATCAGTTACTTTTACTTTTATAAATAATCATCGTTGTTGACTATGTTATGCACCAGACACTACTTTTATGCTCATTTCCTTTAAGGTCCCACCACCACCTCGCTTGAAGCTGAGATGAGATACTTGCTCTGACTGGTGTCCACCAACATATTGGTAAAATCTTCACTTCGGTCCAATGTGTCCAAAGGACATTGCTCCTGAAGTCATTCAGAAGCAAATTCCTGCTATCAAGTAGTTTTTGAAACCAGAGGATTTCTCCTGCAACCCATCCAAACAAATATCCTTGTTCAGTCTCTTTCCAGTTGTCCTGCCATGAACTTTAACCTGGAAACTCAGGCCTGAGATGGAGCTCTTTTTTTCATTTCTCTGAGTACGGCAGTCTGAATTGGATGTCCACAAGGATTGGCTGTTGTCCTAAATGTTTTTTCAGACGATATCTTTCCACGCTGGCAACACAGAACAAACACAAAATCGACAAAGTTCCAACACGAAGCTATGAGAGTGTGAACATCATCTTTAATATTTTAAAATCAAACAGTATCACAACATTCGTATTAAAATAAAACACTTTAATAGCTAAGACACGAGTCTCTTCTTTTGTTGTCTTTGCAAAATATGAACATGTGTAGAGAGATATGTTCTCTTCACCATGGCAACACAGAAACCTAACATGAAGGGGCTCTAACTGGTAGAAGACCGGACCCGGTTCTGTTGACCTCACCAGGTCCAGAACCAGAAGTAATTAGATCAAGTCTGCTCATTGGGAGCGGTGTGCCAGCTGAAGGGCCTGCAGGTCCTCAAGAGTCTGCTGAGCTGTGGCTCTAAGGCTGGGCTGAACATTGGAAGTGAGCTGGCTGACGCGAGCCTGGAGCTCTGGATCCAGCAGAAAAGAGCCCAGGGGGAGCAGCATGTCCTCCTCTAGAAGCACTGACTGCAGGAGGCGCAGACAGTGGAGGCACACCTCCCAGTGTCCATCTGACAGATAAAAACCCTAATTTAGTCTGAAGCAGAGATCTAATACAAACCTACTGACTTTACCAATAAATATATGTTCAGGTGCTTATTTAAATAATATCAAACTGATGGAACACTTCCTGTTTTCAAACACATCAAATTTAACTGTTTATCTTGTTTTCATCACGTGGACGTGTGTAACAACGGCTCCTCACCTTCAAGCAGGGTCCAGATAAGCTGAACGAGTCGTTTGTTCTCACTGATGTACTTCAGTCCTCTAATGCTGATGCTGACATTATACAAGATCATCAGCATCAACCTGCAGCAAAGCCACAATATTACTCTGTGCCAACAGTAGAGGGGCTGCTACATGCATTAGTATGGTTTATTCAGAATAACACCAGGGACTAAAGCCGATATACACGAGTCACAGATTATAGTTAAGTTACTAAAGATATAGGTTCTAATAGTCAGGAAATACTTACAAGTGTTGTTGAAATGCATTTGAAGCTCGTTAAAATCATGTTAAACTGAAAACAGGGTGCATCTGCCAGGACTCTTTAGCTAATTAAACTAAATATATTATAAATATATAATACAGCCCAAAGGTTTGGACACACCTTCTCATTCAATGTGTTGTCTTTATTTTCATGACCATTTACATCAGTAGATTCTCACTGAAGGCATCAAAATTAATTGAACACATGTGGAGTTATGTACTTAACCAAAAAAGGTGAAATTACTGAAAACATGTTTTCTATTCTATTTTCTTCAAGATAGCCACCCTTTGCTCTGATTACTGCTTTGCACACTCTTGGCATTCTCTTAATGAGCTTCAAGATGTAGTCACCTGACATGGTTTTCCAACTATACATATATATATATATATATATATATATATATATATATATATATATGGGGGTGATGGAACACTTCCTATGTATGTATGGATGTATGGATGGATGGATGGATGGATGGATGTATGGATGGATGGATGGAATTAAGAACACTTCATTTCAAGGACCACATTAGGATAAAACATGAGACAACTTTGTATTTGCTGTATTCTAGCTAGCAGCCAGCTAGACAGATTCATGGTTTCCTCATCATATCCACTTACCCTCTTTGTAAATGATTGAGAGCTTATCTTCTACAACCTTCCCATCAACATTTCAATCACTATATAAATATAATCCATTTTATTAACAGAATATAAAACCCAGTCTGACAACAGATTTGGCCTCTGGAGAACAACACTTGAGTCCGCTCACTGCCCTCTCCTCACACCTGAGAATAAATACTGTAACCAGGAAATTTTACCACTTAACCATTCAAACTGATCAATTATCCTGACAATTCCAACACATAAAAATCAATAATACAGAATCACAGTTAAGAAGAATAAGCTGCGGTTGTCACGGTCTGGGGTGGTTTCTCCTCACTAATCTGTGCTGAGCCTTTCTTCCTGCAGGTGGGCGTGTCAGGGAGTGGGACAAGCTGCAGATCATCAGCCTGCCAGGAATATTTAAGCGACTGAGAGATGTCTTCATTTGCTGGATGATTAGCTCAACCTGGGTACCAGATAATCACAGCCTCTGTTTTCGTGATAACTAGTTTAAGACTTAGAATTTCAGCTCAGCCTTCGGAATGTTTTATTCCCACTCTCTCTCTCCTTTTGCAGACTTCTACCAACACCAACAACCGAACGCCTCTGACCTGGACTCAGATACTCACCACTTCATCTCTCAGTCCATCCCTGGCTTCCCCACTCTCCACTGCCCACCCTCAGCTCCTTGGATCTTCAGCACCATAAGTGCTCAGCTCCCTCAGCCCTTGTGTACAGGTTTACCCCCGTGGATCTTGTCTCACGTAAGCACCCCATACCGGACCTCCTCGCCTCACGAGCCTCCGCTTCTTCCTAACCATAAGTCCCCAAACTCCGTTATCCATCAGGATCCGAAAGGACCACATCTAACACCTTTGTCTCTAGATCATCCCGCCCATATCCCGGCTTTGGAAAACCCAGCAGGACTTTCTGCTGTGCCTTTAGTTCAACCTTTTTCTAATAAAATATTGTTTGTTTAATTCCTCCCTGATCTTGTGGACTGATTCTGTATGTAATGGGTTAGGCTTCTACCGCACAATATGACAGCGGTGTCCCACAGGGCTCAGTATTAGGACCTGGCTATCTGTTGTGTGACACAAAGTTAAAAGCTGATAAATTGGATTTCACTAAATGATTTATAGAGCAACAAGCTGGGAGAAGATGGAAACTACAGAGGAATGTATCCGTAGTATGTTCTGGACAGCATTTACCTTTAAAAGGGATTGTTGCCCTTTCAAACACCAGTGTTTCACTGCTGCCACACAAATGACTTAAATGAATGAGTGATTAACAGGAGGTGATGTTAATCAGTTGCGTTGAAGCAGAGACATGGAAAGCATGCAGGTCAGTGGGCCCTGAGAGGGTTGAGAAACACTGGTCTAGATTTCTGGGCTAGATCGTTGTAACAACAAACAGATTTGCAGAATGGAATTTCGTTTGTGCTCCTATAGCTTATGAGAGTACCATAAACATCATGTTACTGTACATTTATCATCTGTAATTCAAAATAAATTGTGATTCCAAGGCCCTGAATAGATTTAAACTATTATATGTAAAATGCTAATTAGGTGTAACTTATGAAGTATTTGGGATTTTTGATCCCTGTCTTGGTAATTGTTGTGTACATTGTTGAACTGCGTATACAAAAGCATCAGCTTCAGTCACTAAATGAACATGTGTGTTTTCTGATTGTCTAAATTTTAATTGACGCTATATATATATATATATATATATATATATATATATATATATATGTATATATATATATATATGTCTCTGAGTCGATGCTGTAAAAAAGTAGGCCTAAACTAGGTGACATGGGTGTGTCAGGACCAGTGCAAGTGTGTAATGCCACAGTCACACTCACACTTTGAGTTTGGGGTAGACACCAGGCTTCATCACCTCGAGCAGCATCATCAGAGTATCCAGTAAGACGTGTCCTGAGATGGACAGGAAGTCCCGCCCACATGTCACTGCAGCTATGTCTGATGGATGACAAATAAGAAGTTAGAAGAAGCCAGGTGACACCATGAAAAATGTGCCCAGGTGAGTGGTGAGAGTGTAAAGTAGCTCACTGGTGATAGTTCCAACCAGACCCAACACAAACTGATGCTCATGGGAGTTAAGGTCTTCAGCTTTAATCTCATCGTCCAGAGACTTGACAAAGCTCTCCAAAGTCTGAGCAGCTACCAACAGGAAGGGCTGTAGCTTCCCCTGCACCATCAAAACACACACATGACCTTATAACTACTATGAACACCAATCAGTCGAAACCACTGACCCCACTGAGTCATGGACTCCTCTGGAACCCTGAAGGTCTGCTGTGGTTGAGCACCAAGCTGCGAGACTGGGACTTTTGGTTAAACAATCACACCTTTTGTTCTGGAACCAGTTTATGGAGTCCACCCTTGAAGGGGTCAACTGAGTCAGCTCCAATTCAGTCTAGGACTCTCAAGAGTTACTCTGTTGTCCCGGTGACGATGATCAACCCAATCGTCCACCAAAAGCTGTGTTCACTGATGTAGTTCAGTCTTTAAACACTGAGGGTCAAATAGGGCTGTAGCGACGCATCGATGACGTCGACGGCTCGATTAATAAAATTTGTCGACGTCAGATCCGGAAGTCGACGCACCGCGCCCACTTCTTGCATCCCCAGGAGTTTGTAAATAGAGGAGGAATCTGCCTGTTTTTCCTCTAGTTCGCCCTCTTCTCCGCCTTCACTAACATCTCCGCCAAATACCGAAGACCCGGAACAATGTCCGTCCACTACTAGATTATTTTCCTGTTTTGCCCGCCTTCGTCTCCCGGCAACGGACAACAACTTCCGGGGTCAGATGCGCTGCTTCGTCTCTACCGCAGATGTAGAAAATCACTGGGAGCGTTTCTCCCTTCATAAAGGAGCTTCTTTCGGACATCAGGAGAGCTGTTTTGGTGGTAGCAGTCTCTCCTCCGTGCTGGTCTGTTTGCTGCTGGGTGTTTTTGGTTTATTTAAACTTGGTAACTTGAACTTAACGTTGGTAAAGCTACTGTTAGCATTTTCGCTAACAGCTTCTTGCTTTTGGATCAGCTGTTATGTTTTGGTTTAGAGTTAATCTTTTTTGTGGTGCAGATCTCCCTTTTATTACATTTAGAGTGTTGTGGGTTTTCGGTTTAGTTTAAAATATCACCTTGAGTTTGGTTTAACCACCCAGTTTAGAGTTTGGATCCCTACTTATTTGTACTTTGTTTTAATTCCCCACAGGCAGAATTAGTTTTATTATTCCCAACCTGTGGATGGAAAGATTTATGATTTTTGTTGTTGTAAATAAACCTGATCATCATTTTAACTTTTAAATCCCGTTATTGTCCCTTCCTTTTTGCGCACGAGCCAAACTCCCCAGGAAGAGTCGTAACACCACTCCCCTCCCGCACATAAGTGACCAAAACAAAGCAGCATGGAGACACTCCGTCTTCTACCACCTCTCAGGCAGCAGCCTGCACTCCCAAGATCTACACGTCATCACAACATAACCAACCGCAACACAATAAAAGCAGTGTTATACAAAATGGAAGGCCCGTAGTGTTTATCCTCTCAGTAAGAATTTATCAATTTTTTTGATGAATTTATTTGAGATTTTCTGGTTTTTGTTAATTGTGCAATAGAAAAATAATCATTAGATTAATTTTCTAAATAGTCATTAGAATAGTCGATTATTCGATAAAATAATCGTCAGAATAATCGTTTTAAAAATAATCGTTTACCCCCAGCCCTAGGGTCAAATGACATTTGTAGACCCATTCAGTGGTGTAGACCAGTGTTTCCCAACCCTCCGCCGACTTGTGGAGGACTCACATCAGCTAGCCAGAGGGTGACGGTGTCCTCCCTAGAAGAGCAGCTCCACAGTAAACTGCAGGCAGCAGATCCAATGGAAGAGCAGAAGTCTGCCTGCTGCTGCAGCTCAACTCCACTCTGCCACAGCTGGTCCCGCAGCAGCAGCTTCTCCTACAGGTGGTCAGAAACATCATCTGTACCAGACAAGACAACATCACCTCTGACAGGTGGTAAAAACACACATTGTGTGTGACAACAACCACACCTCACCTCTCTCTCCTTCTGACATTCAGTTTGTGCTGCATCCAGCCTGGACTGAAGATGCAAACAGTCCTGCTGCAGCTGCTCCTTCTCTGCACGCACGCACGCGCACACACACACACACACACACACCTCTAATAACCTCACATTATCAACATCAATGTGCCCCTGGGCAGCTGTGGCTAAACTGTAGCACATCACCAGTGTGTGGAAGGATGAATGTTTCACTGTAGTGTAAAGTGCATTAGAATCCTCTGACTCAGAAAGGTGCTCTAGAGGTGAAGATCATTCACCATCAATAATAATAAAACATGTAAACACAGCAGCACATTTCACAACAGCAGGAGTTAATATCCATTTTGGGTGATTTAATCTAGAAAAAAATGCTGCCTGTTATTGTTGTTCAAGACATAAATGCAGATTCAGACTCCTGAAGTGACTTCCTGGACAACTTGGGTAAGTTTCTAGGTGGCGTACTTGTTTCTGCTCCCCGAGCTTTGTGCAGATCTCTGTTCAGAACTTTGGGGAGGAACTCTCTGAGCTGCATGACTTCTGTGGTTAGTTTCTCCAGATCCCTTTTCCTCACTCTGACAAAAACATCCTGGGATGGAAATAACAGCAGCAGAATGTATATCTGAGTCTCTGTATTTAAAATAGTAGTTTATCTTTACACCTCATACCTTTCCTTTGTGCTCAAGCAATTTCCCACCAAATAACGCTGATATTTTCTGTTCCTGCTTCTCCATTTGGCCGGTTCCAACCTGTTAGGATTGTCTAAAGCAGAAACAAAATGATTTGTTCCAGATTAACAAATAAATAGCTAGCACACCTCTATTGTAGCAGCAAATTAGAGGAAAAGTCACAACAAAGAAAAATAAATTGGAGTTATTTGCGTCAACTATGACATTTACTTATAAAAATAACGCTAAAAAACAATGTTCCTGATTTAAACTTTAGTAGTTACCTCACTGGTCCAGTACTACTAGCCTAAAACTAGCAAAGGAAAAGGCGCGAAATCCAAAAATCCAGTCCGCGTTTTCAGATTCTCCACACGTGCGGTGAGCGATGGCGGTGAAGCTTATGCCCCATTCAATGGACATCGGAATAATAATACTTACGTAAAAAATCACGTCATTTCCACCCTAAATGCTTTTTATCCATAAGGTGAATAAAGGTTTTCTGTGTTCCTGTGCCGTTTAAAACAAAAACTCGTCAAAAATGGTGCGTTTTACCTAGTTTGGAGAATGTTTAACTAAAATGCCTAGAACACATTTTACAAGATAAAAAAATAATACAAGACATGATATAAAAGTGGTGTAGTTGTTTGAACTAAGGTCAAATTTATGTTTGACAAATATGATTTTCATAATTGACCCTAAAATCGGACCACATTTTGGAATTAATTCGATTGTCCACTGTCGAGGTGAACATCCCGAGTTTCCTGTTGCCTTTGACCGCAGCATCATCCACCTTTCTTTTGTGTTTGAAACTGTCCTCTGAGACCAGAAGTTCGGTGGAGAATCTGCTGTTCTCTTATGTCTGTAGGAGTGGGGGCCGACCTGTGTGGGGATGAGGTGTTCTTCAGCCGGTTTCCGGTCCACCGAGCCTGTCGGGATGGAGACCTGGACGCTTTGATGTCTCTGTCAAAACGGACTCATCTGAATGCTGAGGACTCCTGCTACGGATGGACTCCTATTCACTGGGCTGCTCACTACGGACAGGTAACCGCTCACTTACGTTAGCTAAAGGAACACTGACCCCAGGTCCACCTGGGATTAAAAACACTAGAATATTAATTTTTAACTTCCGTCACAGAAGCCTTTTGCTCTGTAACTTGTTTTTACTACTCTATGGTTGTGCACTTAACAGCTACGACTTGAAAATAGTTTTAGATCGTTTTATTATTAAAATAAAACCTACTGTTTATTCCCTAACACTGTTATGTCTAGTTGTTAAAATGTTACAGTTCAATAAAGTTTTCTCAAAAGATAAAAAAATATAAACCGGCGTAAGTTCTGATTGGTCTTCACAAAGCCAATCACAGCGCAGGCGGCAAAGTGAAACGAGGAAATGACTTTCCGGCTGTTTAGAACGTTCATTTTTTAATATATTTTCAAGAATTTCGTCAAATGTAAACACAGTAAATGTTGGTGTAATGTTAAAAGCTAATGATGTTAGCCACAAATGTTTTGCAGAAGCACATTTTAACATTCTGAGATTAAAAAAAAAACTTTCAAACCCAAAGAACAAACACTTTCCCAATTTAACCAGTTGTTAGTTCAAACCATGGTTCAAACTTGTACTGTAAAAATTAAATATTTTGGACATTTTATGGTGTTTCTATGTTAAAGGGTATAACTGGTTGTATTAATCTAGTTTTCTGAACAACCCCATTTGTAAAAACCGTCATATGGGACTGACAAGCTAACGGCTAGTTGAAACGTGTTTGCTGTCTGATGTTGTGTGTGAACAGCTGGAGTGTGTGGTGTACCTGGTGCAGATGGGCTGTAAGGTGAACACGGCGACCAGCCGCTTCAACCAAACACCGACACACGCTGCAGCGTTGGGAGGTCACCCTCACTGTGTAGTGTGGCTGACTCAGGCGGGGGCTGACATCAACAAGCAGGTCAGTGTGCCGGTACGGGGCTCAGGTGTTAGACGAAAGCACACAGCAGCTTTAGTTTCATTAATTATACTGATGTTTATATAAGTTTACAGCTGATCAGACACCAGCTGGATGAGTGGAGAGCATCAGAGCAATAAATCACAGTCCTGCTGAACCTATCCTCAGTGTTAATCTCACACATATACACACACACACACACACACACACACACACACAAGTAACGTGATGAACTTTTTGTTTACAGGACTTGGTTGGTGAGGCTCCCATTCACAAGGCGGCTCGATCAGGCAGCCTGGAGTGTATCCAGGTTCTGCTGATCGCCGGAGCAGAACCACAGTAAGTGAGTTCAGGGTCCAGACAACAGACGGGCCGTCCTACAGAGAGTGAGATAGGGACTTTCAAATCCAATCAGCTGAAGAAGTCAGCAAACAAAATGAAAAGTAGTTGTTGGCTCTGAGCTGTTTGGGTGGATGTATTTCCCACCTGGTTGGACTGAAGCAGCTGTGTCCTTCATTCCTTTGAAACAATCTTTTATAAAGAGCTTCTCAAGATAAGGTGCTTCGCAAGAACAAGAACAACAATAAAAAAAAGATTTAAAAAATATCATCAAAAAGAGAAAAATAAGACATCGTGGTTAAAAAGTGTGCAGAAAGGGAGAGAGAAAATGAATAAAAAGAGGAAATCAGTGGATCCTGGGAAAGGTGGAATAGGTGGGGAGAGCAGAATAAGGAGAGGTGATGAAGGTCACGCAAAAGCCAGCCTGAACAGGTGAGTTTTCAGCTGCTTTTTAAAGGAGACCACTGAGTCCACTGATCTCAGGCTCAGGGGGGAGAGGTCCAGAGTCTGGGGGCCACAGCAGCAAATGATCTGTCACCTTTGACCTTTAGCCTGGTGCTGCACAAACAGTAGGCTTTGATCACTGGACCTCAGGGACCTGCTGGGGGTGTAGGAACTTAGAAGATCATCAATGTAAGATGGTGCTTGTCCATGTAAGGCCCTAAAGATCAGAACCAGGATCTTGAAATGAACCCTGAAGTTAGAGAATCACTTCCTGTTGACCCGTGGTTTGGTACCACCTTGGTGTTGTCAGGTGTTTTCACCTTTTATGAATCTGAAAAGAAGAGATCTAACTATCTGTAGAGGCCACACAACTCCAGCTCCTTCATCAGTCAGCCGCTGTCAGAACAGCTGTGCCACAGCGCCCCCTGCAGTCTACAACTAGCAGGCTCAGTCTGAGCTAACACTGTAATGTCGGTAACCTCAGGGTGATGGTGGATTTGGACCTGAAGCAGATTATCAGTTATTTAAATATTTTTTCTGTTGGACTCCAGATTTTTTTGAAATGAACTTTGACCCCTCTCACATTAGTGTCCAGCCATTAGCGACATCTTGGTCATGTTTTTCTTAATCCCCTGCCCATTGGGACCGGGATCCGATGCTTGAGATCAGATCTGGACCAGATGCTTCTCTTCCAGGTGGTGCCGTTCCTCCTCGTTAACACACACCAGTATGCTCCAGAGCAGAATTTTGCTGTAAAGGCAGACCTTTCACGGTCTATAATGGACCATAGAATAGTTTTATATTCAGCCCTGCTGATTGGTCAGGACCATCCTGCTCGTGTTCTTCAACACAAGTGTTGTTTGCCCCCTGGTCTAGTTTGAGGAACGCCAGCGGACAGACGGCAGCAGACCTCGCCCATGCTCACGGCTTCCACGACTGCTTCTGCTTCATCTCCAACACGCCGACACACAGGGAGGGGGCGCCGCTCAGCAGGAAGAGGACGCTGCCCACCAAGGAAGCCTGCAACTTCATGAAGAAAGCCAGGAGAGCTGAGGGTGAGCAAACATCCTGAGAATCAGAACGCCCCTCAGCCAGAGCGAGTTGTCCAGTAATCGGAAGGTTGCAGGTTCGATCCGGGTTCCAACCAGAGAATTCTGCCGTTGTGTCCTTGGGCAAGACACTTTCCGCCTTTCCTGCTGGTGGTGGTCAGAGGGACCGGTGGCGCCAGTGCTCGGCAGCCTCGCCTCTGGCAGTGCACCTCGGGGCAGCTGTGGCTACATCGTAGCTCATCACCACCAAGCATGTGAATGGGTGAATGGCTGATTGTGTTGTGAAGCGCTATGGGGAGGTTGTAGAACCCTAAGATGGCGCTATACAAATACAGACCATTTAACTTTTTCTTTACCAGAGCTTCAGCAGCCACCGGCTGATCAGCTTCATGAGGTTTGCAAACACCAGAGCTTGTGGTTCCGATGTTGAACCAAACAGGAAGGAAGTTCTGGTTCATCTCAGACTGACAGTCTCACTACCTGATTTCTGTTTCTATGGAAACGTGATCTCCATCAGTTGTCCTCTGATTAGTCCTCCTCGTCCACGTAGGAACGCAGCAACATCTAAACCTCACATGAAGCTCAAACGTCAGCTGAGGATTATGGGTAGAGGACAAACTACCGACTAACTTTATTTCTCTCACAGGAGAGTCATTTCCTGCAGCCCTTCACAACAAGTCTTAGATACAGAGGTTTTCCAAACATCTAGCAGCAGAACGTTCTGTTAATGGGTTCCACTAATGGAAGGTTTTGTCTCCTTCTTTGAAACTCCACCAGTGTTGGAGCAGCAGGTGGTGCAGAGCAGCTCAGGCGAGGAGGAGGAGAACATGGACCTCAGCTCAGGTGGGTTCTCAAATTCTTTTGGATTTTGTTAGTCTAACGGAGTTAAAAGAAACAAGGACATGTTTTTGTTTGAGTAGATGACATCACCAGAGCTGGACTCCACCACAGCCCGTCCTCTGGTCACAACAAATGCCCCTCCTCCCCGCCCTCACCTCCGCCCACTTCAGCAGAAATGTGCGGCTCGCTGCACCTGAGCAGCAGCCCGGGCAGGTCCGGGTCCCACCAGCTGAGGGGCGTGGACTGTGGGGACTTCCTGCTTTATGGACACTACCATGGCTTTGGAGACACAGCGGAGGACCTGAGCGACAGTTGTGAGTTCCAAACTGAGGGCGGCTACAAGCAACCTGGCCACGCCCACCTCTACCTCGGCTCATAGGACTGATGCTTCCTCCAGTCACCCCCAGATTCTTCACTGCAACACGTGATCTTCATCATGGTTCTCCAGATCAGAGACTGGCTCATTCACAGTTAAATGGTCTTCATCAGACGTCCTGAAGGTCTTTCAAAGACCTTTTGGGACATTAGCGTCGTTTTGTGGTATTTTCAGTCAGTCATTCCCCATTTCTGGGAAATGGTTTTGATTTTGCTTTTAAGGAACTCTGACCAATTTAACTCAAGGGATGAGCCAGTGTGAAATATAAATTTTATTAAGTTATATCAGAAAGATGACTAAATAAAACCTATAGTAGTGTTTCTGCACCAACAAGAAGATAACCAATCTGGTCCCGTTTCATGAAAAACCGATGTTCAGTCTGGAGAACCAATGATCCAGACCACTTCAGTGGTCATGAAGAACACGAAGGCACCGTGTATGAACTGTACTGGGAGGTGGGGGTCTGATTCCTGAATGGGAGCTAGACCAGAGTCAGCTATGATGTCATCATCTTGCTGTAGATGGTCCTAGACAATCCAGACCAGCAGGGTGGGGTAGGGTTCAGGTATTTAAAGTCCTTTCACTTCGTCGGAGTAGGTGGAGTTTGAACCCCCACCCAATAGAGGACATTCAAAGCTGAGTTTTTTTTTATATAAGTAGAGATGATTCCAGAAGCAGATCACTACAGGCACTAGTGGAGCAGAGTTCTTCTAAACCAAGGGCTGCTTCTCTGGTTGGTGTCCTTCCTGCTCCACCTTTACTCTGCTTTGCACTACCGAGGGCCGCCATGTTGGGTTGTCCTCCACATAAATAAGGTTCTCCGTCCGTTAGCGAGAGGAACAAACCTGCACTGAGACGGCCCACAGCAGCCCTCGCTCTACCAAAGGGACTGTAGATAGTTTAGTACGGTGCTGATGTGGGTGTGTTCGGTCCGAGCTGTGCACCAGCCTGCCTTACAGCAGCGCGCCAGGGTCAGAGGTCACCGCTGCCCTTTCAACGACCGTTTTCTACTGTCTCCTGGTGTTCTTAATAAAAACCTTTTTCACTTTTGCAAACAAACGTCTGCTTTTTCATTCGGTGTTTTTGGATGCCGTGACTTGTCCAAGGCTGGGTCATGGAGGGGACAGAACCCAGTGATCTGTCCCACAGGGGCACCCATAGTGCTTCAGGGCTAGAGATGCTCCATCAGGTGGGCTTTATTCAGAGTATAAAATGTTTGGTAAAATTTAAAACTGAACTTTAAAAACACAGTTCTGGATTTTGTTCATCTTGGTTTTCCCAAACGGCTCCTTTAGAACTTGGAGGACCAGCAGGTGAAGCAAAATGAGAATATGGCCTCACACAAACCACCACCCACAGTACACCGGGCCTCTTCCACTGGAGAGGCCTGGCTGGAGTCCCAGCTGAGCAGAAGAGGCTGTAACAACGAACAAGTCTGAAGTTTCAGCTCGAATCAGAGCAGGGCCACCCGACACGTCTAATGGATGAAATGTAGAAGCTCAACATCAAACTGCTGTCAGATCTGAGACAGAACAGGGCCAAGTGGAGACGTATCATTCATCCTCCCATCACGACAGGGGAACTCCTGAACTGGGTGGAGAATAAATTATTAAATAATGTTTTAATGGGCAGTACTTTATGCAGGCTCATTTGAGAAACAGAAGGCAGAAACATCTGTACCGGGTCGGCAAGGGCCGGGTAGCCCCAGCCTGGCCCGGTTGATTCCACACATCCTTGTCTTAAGCCCATGTGAGCTGATCCTACCCACCAATCAGAGGCTTGCTCTAATGGAAGGTGTGAATTTGCTGTCAGCAGTGGGTGTGTTGGTCCTGGTCGGCCTGAAGCAGACCCCCTCGAGAAGAGGGCTGAGAATGAGCCTTGGTTGGCCCGGAAAAATACCAGGCCACCCAGATATGTAAACAACCTACGCTACCCGGCCCGGGCCGACCCGGTACAGATGGGAATGGCAATTAAAAGCGCCGAGTTATGGGTCTTTTTCAGCCTGTCCCTCTGTTTTTACGTCTCCACGACCCGGGACAACAAGAGGACGGGGACGAGACGACGTGATGTTCTGAAAACCCGACCAGGAAAAAACAGCAAATCCTTCAGACACCTGATGAAATCTGATTAGTTTATTTCAGTTTGTTCAAAGTAAAACAAGGAGAGCGTATCTGGGTGTAGAGTTGGGGACTGGTGTCACTTCTTCAAATCCAGTCTGATGGTCTTCTGCAGACTGGCTATGCTGGCGTCCAGAGCAGCAAGTCCATCACGAAACGCCAGCTCGTCTCTGGTGTCGAAGGTGGAGCCTGATCTCACGCTCCAGCTGGAGCAAACAGACTCCAGGTCACAGGTAGACATGTCCATCACTCGCCCATGAGGCTGGATGACCTCTGACCTGGACAGGCTGAGATGAGGTGGATGTTTAGACGGACCTTGCGGAGGTCTGATGAGCTGATGTGGTGTGTTTTCATCTGTCTCTGCAGCCAAACGCACCAGCCCTGGGTGTGTGTGCTCCACCTGGCTCAAAGACATCAGGTTGTGTTTGATCAGGTCACTGGGGGGCGCTGGTGGGTCCTGTTCAGGAGACTGGCGGACCTCATCTGATCTCTTCTGACTCTGAAGACATCTAGAAGCAGACAGAAGGACTAAAGTCACCCACGTACACCCAAATATTACCTGTAGGGGTCCTGGATCAGAAAAATGCTCAGCATCACAGATCAGGTCCACTCAGACCTGCTGAGGTACCACGCTTTAGTTCCTGCCACAGCGGACTAAAGGACAACGTAGGGGCCATCTTGAATGGTGCTAAGTTTTCAGTTTTTGACGTTCATCCAAATTATACCATCTAAGACTTCTTTAAACAACACTCACACACACACACACACACCTCTGAAGGGCTCCTATCTCCTCTAGTCTCTGCTGGGCGAGCGAGGCTAGCTCCATCTTCTGTTGCTGCGTTTGCTGCAGATGTTCTCTGGTGGCCTTCAGGTCTGAAGACACACACACACACACACACATCCCATCAGTAACATCAGTGCCATCCTCACACGAGACTAGACTGAACATCTGGACTGTTGCTGCACAGATGTTCCTTTTAACTGCTTCATTTAAAGACACACTAACAAGCGGAGCCCCAGAACTCAGAAGAAATGTTTATCTGATAAAAAAATATATAAAAAGAACGTGCGACCACAACAGGACCACAGCTTTGAGTTGGTTATAAACCTATGATGAGGATAAACTCTAATGAGTGAATTTACAGTCAGATTTCCTTCATCTGAGGCAGCTCAGCTGTTATTGAGGACACCTCCAGCACCAGGAGGCTAAGATCATTCCAGACATAATCTGTTCAAGGTGCTTCCTGCTGGCAGGAGGTTGAGATCCATCAGAACATCAAAACAACTTTGTTCCTTCTGCTACTGGGCTCGTGAACAGAGGCCCTGCTGTTCTTCTCAGGTCTTTGGGACCTCACTGGTCCATCTAGTGCCTGATGCTGCACAGCTCTGGTCCCTTTAGTTCATCAACATTTAACATTGTTGCTGCTGGTGGTCAACACCATGATTGTTATGATTCTGAACCTGTCTTTAGGAGTGTGTTCTCCTCTTCTTTGTCCCTCAGCTGGCTCTGTGTGTCCTGGAGGGCTTTCCGTAGCTCTGTGAAGTCCTCCTGGAGCTCCTGGAGTCTGGACTGAGCAGCCAGAAGGTCCTCCTTCAGACTCACCGCTGTAAACATGACAGGAAGCTGCTTTAGCTACAAGAACACAGCTATCGCCTCCAGACGGGTCAGAGGAAACTGTTGTGGTACCATTCAGCAATGGGCCCACACCCAAATGTGGCTGAGGACACGCAGGTGGTCGTAATGTTACTGCTGAGCAGTGTGTTTACCTCCTAAGTTGGAAAGTAGTTCCTGTTTCTGGTGTTCATCCGCCTTGCCAGAAATCTTCACACACCTGAAAACACAAACACACACCTTGTGAGGAGTCGACTCTGACTGGCTACAATCCAAAGTTAAGGAGCGGGTTTTACCTGCACAGGTGAGCACTCTGACCCGGCAGCCATGATGGATCTGATGGACTTCCTGTTGGGACGTTTGAACAACCGACATTTATCTGTGAAGACACAACCTGCTCCAGACGGAGGAGCAGCCTCTCTGCTACACTGCCTACACACACACACACACACACACACACACACACACACACACACACACACACACACACACACACACACACACACACTGAGTACTGAGCTTTCACACGGTAGTCGGGAGACATCTGTTCAGGTTGGACAGAAATGTCCTCACGTTGGACTGAGACGGCTGGTGGAAGAACATCTAAACACCAGGAGGTGGTCTCAGGTCCCACCCACACAGCTTTAAATCTGATCTCAAACATCCACGCCTTCATGCACGTGACCAGGACGTGATGTCATGCAGACCAAAAGGGGGGTGGGGTGTAAATTAGCTCACATTAATGGCGCTTTAAGAACCGTGCAACAGATCTTTCCCTGGATGAGATCCAAGGCGTCTTCAAGAAAGTAAAAACGTCCAGTACCTACCAGTCCATGTCCAACGCTGAACCAGTAAGAGGGTCCACCTCATCAGGACCAGTCCTTGGTCCCCATTAGGACTTACAGTTTCTGATTCACAACCACACCAAACCCATGCTGTTTAGTACTGGGTCCAGTTACCTTGACCAGCAATCAGAGCTTTGAGTTCTCCCAGCAGACAATCAACCGTCTCTGCTTCTGTCCTCCGGCTGTCCTCCCCTCTGACGGACGAGTTCTCAGGGACTCCAGGATCTACCTGCAGGTTTAGCCCCATCGTGGTATGGGAGTCTTCATGTGGGACCTGGACATCAGAGTCTTTGACGGGAACTTCCTTTAGTCCATCCCACTCTGTCGTGGAACGTGGAACTTCAGGACCAGAAGGGCAGCTGGTCTGGACGTGGACGGAGGTCTGAGGTGGAGGGACCAAGCTGAGTGGGGGCCGAGGGGTTTGGTTCTGAGCAGCAGAGGGAGACGGGTGTAGCTTTTGTCTTGACAGAAGAGCTGGAGGAGCTGGTCTACGAGTGTCTGGTTCTGAGTGCCGAAGGTCTGCAGAGAGGAGGCAAGACAAGTTAACAGGAGCTGTAACTGGTGGCTGTAGACACATCTCATGTAGCCTTTTCCAGTCCAAAACACGCTGCAGACTAAAGGTAAAGACCAGGGGTCTCATTTATCAACCACATGTACGAACAGATCCGTGCGTAGGAACTAATTTACACATTGTGTGGTATTCATCATTTTGTACCTGTGTGTGGAAATGTTCCTAAACATAAGAAACCTTCAGACCATGGTAGGAACAGCATCTAGTGGTGGAACAGGGAACCGCAACACCGAAGGTCTCAGTCATCCACACATGTTCCTCATCCACTAATTTTTTTACCCAATAAATAAAAACTTTAGTGGAAAAACAGCTGAGTCACATAACTGGTGCTACAACACCCGTCTGACGTTGTAGAATGGTTGTCGTGTTTCATGTAATCACAATTTTTTCTGTTTCCATTTTTATGATGTTCTTAATTGTTTTTATTACTTAATATTATTTTTTATTTTATTTTATTATATTTTTGTCCTTGTGAAACGCCTCATGAGTCTGCCTGAAATTCGATAAAAGAATGTTTCTATATTATTATTATTATTATTGTTATTATTACTATTATTGTTATATTACTATTATTGTTATTGTTGTTATTATTATTATTGGTGTTATTATTATTATTATTATTGGTGTTATTATTATTGTTGTTATTATTATTATTGTTGTTGTTATTATATTGTTGTTATTATTACTGTTACTATTGTTATTATTATTATTGTTGTTATTGTTGTTGATGATGTTATTGTTATTATTATTAGGGTTTGTCAGAGCGAGCTCTCTGGGGTAAACGTGTTTCCATGAGCGCGCTGACAGGAGATCCGTCTGGAGCTGTGCTGTAATTTGGGACCTTTTGTGGAGCGACAGATAAACCGCACAAATCTGATTCCAGTCCATATTCTATTTTACAACTACGAGAACCCCCCAGAACCTCCTCTGCTCCCCAATCACACACGCGTTGCCAAGGTAACCAGACTGAATGACAGCTAAGAGGCTGCACTCTCATACATTTCCAAATAAAGCCAACTCCAACCAGAACGACTCCTTAAATGTAAATGACAACCCGTTACTCTACGATTTATCATATAAAGGTTTATATTTATTCCTGATGGGAACCTCTTCTCTGTCCTGACCGTGTTTATGACCTTGTTTGGTTCTTTTGCACCTCGGCAGACATTGTTTCGATCTCGCAACAAAGATTTATTTTTATATGGGTAGAACACAGCGAATGCCCTCCTGTGCTGAAGACGTAGCTTGACCAAATATGGTTAATTGAGGACGTTGCTGTATGTAAACGACTGAGAACGGACACAAACACCTGGTACACACAGGTGGGATTTATCATTAGACGACTGTGGAGGAACATGTGTACGAGAGGCCACCGCATGTTTCATGAATCAAGATTTTGACCGTATTGACCGTATTTCGTTCACAGGAAGGATTATAGGAATATTTCTACGAACGTTTGATGAATGAGGCCCCTGGTCTGCTGCTACGGGAGCCCAGGGGGCCAAACAAGAAGAGACTGAGATTAAAGACCAAGTTCACTTGTTATTTCAACACATTGGCAGTGGTCTCTGATATAAACGAGTGCCTTAAGTTCTGGTGCTCCTGTTTCAGGAGGCAGAGTCTTATTTCCTGATATTTGGACATCTGGCCTCTGATTGGCCAACAGCAACATGACTCTACCACTGACTCTGTTTGCTCTGCAACCTTGATATTTAATCTCCACCAATAACACAAGCCGGGAGCTCTGCTGTGTGGTGAAGTTGCTAATGGTTAACTTCTACTAGCCGAGATGTTCTCTGTGGTTTCCTGGATGCTAAACCAACAACAGCTTTCCCCGTCGTGAGTCAAGATGGGCGAGTCTATGAATGTTAAGCGACACTATGACGTAGATCTGTCAGGATTTTCTAATCTAGAGTTTCACCGTCTATTTTCTGTGAGAAGCTAAAGCAGGAGATAGGTGCACGAGACTATTTTCACATTCAGCCTGCATGAAAAACTCAGTGACTGATTGGACTTAAAGAGCAAGTCACCCCCAAATCAACTTTTTTTTTTGCTGATAAACTACATAAATGAGTGTCTGATCGTGCTGTGGACACATACAGTAGATAATTTGGCATTTTAGTGGTTAAAATTTAAATATTCTATCTAAAATTGTCAGTGTTGTGCCCTCTTCAGGTAAAAACTCTGTACTGCATTTAAATTTAAATCTGCCATTGCGAATGGCTAAGAAGTATCATATGACGTCAGCTGGTATCATATGATGTCACAATGTCATTGTGAGTCTGTATTTGTGTATTTGTTAGCAGCTCCGCCCTCTCGGTCTGCCAGGCAACAGCATTTGTTGCATTTTTCAAACAGGAAGTGGGAGTGGAGTAAGATTCTGGTAGGGGTGACTTGCTCTTTAATGAGAATAAGACTTGAACAAGAACTGTATGAAAACACACAGCTGTTAGTTTAATACTGCGTCTTTGGTCCTGAGACCGCATCGTAAAACACACGTGACCTTTGGTCTGAGGCTTCCTGAGAGCGGCGGCCCCCTGAGAGGTGGAGGGTCTGGGTTTCCCTGCTACAGGCTTCATGCTTCTGGAAACACCTGCAGAAACTAACACACACACTAATCTAGAGCATCTGTAAAACCATCAGGATTAAATGATGGTGACCATGACAACCACAGACCTCAGCTCAGTGGAGACACAAACCTGTTCCTGATTTTGTAGGACCTTTCTTTATGGTCTTACTCCCCTGACAAGTGGATGCTCTTGGTTTAATCATCAGCTTCTTAGGTCCTGGTGAGGCTTAAACACACACATCATCACATCAGCTCTTTGACTCCACACCTGTATCCTTCAGTAGGGTTCCACTCTATAAGATCACAGCAGATGTGAGGAACCACATCTGGATCTGATCACAGAGCTGGACTCATCCCATCCTGAACACAACAGAAGCTTTCCTTCTCATGAAACTAAAGGATGTTTAGTTGTGACATGAAACCCAGCTGACCTGCCTTCTCTGCCTGGAGAATGCCACTGAGCAAGGCAGCACACTGGTCCAGACCCTTGTGAAGAGTAGTGACCTGAGGAATGACCAGTATATTTATATCACTCTACTGAGACATGAGACCAGCTGTAATAAACACGTCCATGACCTAAAGTCACTAATAAACCTCTAATCTAAGGGTCAGAGGTCATGAAGCAGCTGTTCCTCAGCATCTTTGTCCACTACCACACATTAATCTGTGCTCCTCTTCCCACAGATGTACCATCTTTACGAGTTCTCCGTCGGTGTGAAGGGGACTAATCTGAATCAGTAAGGGTTTATAGTTCAGAAGCATCGTTAACACAAAAGAAAACACATAAAAAGACATTGATTAGTCCAAATTATCCACCCTCCTTCAGGCAGAAGCGTGAGCAGTTTTAAAGTCTAGAGGAGCAGCTTGTTCCTTGTGGTGATGACGAGGCTCGTGACCTCTGACCCTCAAACTGGTGCAGCAACATCAACACCTCCACACCCAGCCAACCTGTGCTCAGGTGTTGTTACCTGATCGGAGTTTGTGGAGTAAAGGGAGTCACGTGGCTCAGGCCAGGCAGCTGGTCCTGGATCAGGAGTGGCTCTGCTGACACACAGTAAACCAGTGCATTACACCAGTGAGCGGACTCACGTAAGCCCCCTTGAAGCCCCCTTCAGACAGGCCATGAAAAACGGAAATGTTCCGGAAGCTGTCCGTAAGACCTTTGTGTCTGAATACAAACATCCGGATAACGTGTTCCGGAATTTAACCGGACGAAGCCCCTAGTAACAGGTCCGGACTTGTTACGGACAGGGTGGCTGCTTCAGACTGGTGAGGTAGAGTTCCGGACAAGGGGGAGGGGGAGGAGGAGGGGACCGGGGGACGCTGTGCGCACCTATATAACTTGCTCCTGTAGCATGTGGCGAACCACGGCAGCTTGCCTCCTACGGTACCGCCTAGACGCGCGACGGAGCGCTTCACACCGCTTCAGTGATTCCTTTAACCATTGAGCTTCATCATCCAGGTCTCTTATGCGTCTTCGTGTGCGCAGAATTAAGCTTAAGCGCCTCGTGATTTTTATCTTGAGAGGCGCTATAGAAATTATATTTTCTTCTTCTTCTTAACATAAGTCCGATTCTACCCCCACCCCACCCCCGCCGCCGTCAGACATCTGGAACTTTTCCCTGCTGTGTGAAGGCAGCCGAAAGGACAAGTTCCGGTACAAAAGTGGTGTGTCTGAAAACTCAGTTCCGGTTAAAAACCGGATTGAATTGTCCGCAAATGTTCCAGAATGTCTGTCTGAAGTGTAATGCTGGATGCTGTACTCACCTCCTCCCGGCGGTACCTGTGAGCCTTCCTGACGTCACCACCTGTCAGTCAAACTACATTTAACATTTCTGTCCATGACACCACACTACAAGTCATGGCTCTCTACTGGCTGGGTCAGGTGTTTTGGTAGTGAGTTTATTTTTAAGTGACTAACATAAATGTGACATTTTAGCAGTAAGCTACTTAAGCTAGTCTCGTGTTGAACAAAAGCGCTACTCTTACCTTTTCTTTAGCTTTTCTGTTCATGGTATGTGGCAGTTCTGCGGTCTAACTGGAACATAAATAAAAATATTTAACAAAAAAGGTTCTATTCCGGCTCTACCGGGTCAAGAAAACCGATAAAATCGCGTCTTCGTTAGCTCTTCTATTTCAAAACCGAGCCACAGCGCCATTGAAAGCAAAACACACAACTGACCAATCACATCACGTTGCCTTCACTGACGCCTGGCAAACTGGAGGAGAAACGAGTATAAACACCTCAAAGATATTTATTTCATAATGTCTTATTTATTTATTGAATTTTGAATACTTTTGAGTTCCATATCATTCTGGTACCACTGGTATTTTATTTAGGATCACAGACTGTAAACGCGTTTATAAAAATAAAAATTCCAATGTATGAATTTTGTGAAAGTTATGAATTTGTCAAATTCCCGACTGACTTCGAAAGTAGCATTTTACACGCAAAGCATATTGTGCGCGCATTCACTCAGCATTACGGTATCCTCCTTGCCGGTATTTTGGTCATGACAAATATATCATTAAAATAATTTAATAAATACTGGTACAGACACGGGGAATACATAAATAACTATTTATAAAACATTTCACCGTGGGCAGATTAGACACAGGTTTATCTTTCATCATAATTATTGTGTATTTTTCTTTTCATAATGCAACTACGGGTAACCTAAAATAGAAAACAAGACTTCCGACATGTGTAAACACGCCGACTATTTGGGGTCATTTTTGTCAAATGCAAATGTATCGAACATAACTCATAATATGGCAGCTGTGCCGCACACGCACGCTGCCAGTTGGCGAATTCCCCTTTGATACTAAAAATGTCTTTCATTGTGAAGGTTTGAGCACACGTTTTTTGTTTTTTCCCTTGAAAAATGTTTCGGAAAGCTTTCTACAGGAGGTGTGTCGATACCACACGGCCATGTACCGTAAGCAGCTGAGCTGACATTCAACCTCATTCCCTCAGACAGGAGGCTGAGCAGCCTCAAAAGCTGTTTTCTTCTGTTGCTTTGATCTCTGACCCTTTCCTCTCCTCTTTGTTTATAAAACAGGATTTATTCTAAGGTTTTTCTGGATTCTCCAGGAGACAAACGGCTGAATGGATGGACCCTTTAAAGGACACTTGTAATGTAATTGTTTTGTAATGCCTTGTACTGTTGTCCAGTCAACTCAAGGGTCCCTGGAAGAGCGAAACAATTAATGCAAGTCAATAGGACTAAGAGTTATTTTCTAATCCGCTTCACCTTAAGCCCCGGATCACACGCTGTACTTTTATTTAACCCTTGTATTGTGTTAGAAAGCTGTTTACACCTGTGGTGTTGGTGGGTCCATTTGGACCCATAATTTATAGATGCTTGAAAATGCTTAAAATCACAACAGTTTTCTTCAAATGTTGTTTTTCAGCTAATTGCTGGCTTATGTATTCACATAAATGGAACCAGTGTGTGAATTGTTTTTAGTTGGCTCCACAGACACAGTATTTTAAAATATACCACTCGTTTTTTATTGCAAAAACTGTTTAAATTCACTAAATATATTTCATTAATTTTTATAGAATGAGTAAGAATAAACTGTAAATGTGTAAATGTGTTATAAACTAATATTAGAGTACACCTACCCCAAAAAAATTATCATTTTTTTTACTGTTTAAAATTATTAACAATAGTGCCATCTTTGTAGCCTATTGAACTAATTCTTGCTTTGCAAAGTTTTATATACCGGTATGTAAATATTTAGACTGGCTTGCCAGGCTAACATCTTTGGTGTTTTGGGTCAAAACGGACCCGCATAGATAAATGGTAGGATGAAGACAACAAGTCATTTTTTTCCCCCATAAAACATACTTTTATTCAACCAGACCAATTAACCAAACAATTTAACCATGAAATGAACAATGATAAACAACACTGTGTGTGGTTGTGTGCGTGCACATGCACCTGCATTGACCAAAAACTGAACATTGAGAATAATATGGTGTTTGTGCAGGTATGTTGTTCTGAATTAACCATAATCTAAACAATGAAAACAAACCATAATTTGAACTCTGTGTGTGTGTGTGTGTGTGTGTGTGTGTGTGTGTGTGTGTGTGTGTGTGTGTGTGTGTGTGCGTGCGTGCGTGCGTGTGTGTGTGTTGGTGATATGGGCCATAACTGTGCACACTGGGCCATAATCGATCCTCAGAGCAACCCATAGCTTTTAAGTGATGCAACAGACGGTTTTCTCTGCCGGGTAATTTTGGACCCGTAACGCCACAGAAGTAACTTTTTTTTTGAGACCTTTAGAATTTACCAAAATTGTGAAAATTGATGTTGCTGCAGTTAAATAGGTGTGTCTGAGGATTAGATTAGGCCTCATCCCAGGACAAAAGGGAAAGTGTACTTTTTACACAGTTAAACTTGAAAACGGGTCGATTTTGACCCTAACACAACAGAAGGGTTAAATGAAAACTAATGATGTGTGTTTCGGCCACGCCGGTCACGTACTTGATTCATCAGCTTGTCAAAGTCTTCAGACTGAGTCTATTTCCGGAGGTTTTTTTTTTTTTTTTTTTTTTTTTTGCTTATCTGGTGGCACCCTCTAGTGGCTGACAAGCATATAACAACAATAGTCTCGATCTGCTGTTTAAGATGGTGACTTCACGTTTCTTGTTTATAAATGTGCTTCTGAGCCGACAAACAGTTAAAGCACGTTGTTTTACCGGTATTACTCTCATGCCATGATGTGTTCTCATATATTTATATTTTAAAGGCTTACTTGTCAGTAAAAAGTTCAGCTCAGCATCAGCCGAGGAAGCAGGTAAGCAGTAGTCTAACTATTGGTCAGTTCTGGTCGGCGCTCAGTTTCCTGTTGCACGGAAGTCTGCGGGGCAGGGGCCGTGCTTTTCAAAAATACAAAATAAAATACATTTTATTATATCACAGTACATAAGACAATCACTTTTACGGAATTCTGAAAAATCATACATATTTTCTGAAAGAAGAAAACTCCAGAAAGATACTTTAACTCGGCCAAAACATGTGGAAATGATTGGCTCGAACTGTTGTTCTACTTTGAGGATCTCAATGCATGCATTCAAATGTGTGCATAGATCTGCAAGTACAGGTGATGAATGACGGCCCTGGAGATTTTGGAGGCCAAATCAAATCCTGAAGCTCTCTAGCTTTAAACAAATGTGATTTATCTATTTTTGTTATACATGATCTGGTCTGGAGTTTATCTCAGTAATTTCATTTAAAAAAATTATATTGTATATAGGAACCTGCCATTCTGATCCATCTTTTTGATAAAAAGGGGGATTGTTGGAGATCAAAATCAGTTATTTGCTGTGTATTTTTATCATTATACCCATTATAATCACCCAAGGTAATGTTAAGTAATTCATTGACCTCTCATGTATAAATAATCTATTAGTCCAGGTTAACTGTTAATAACCTGTTGGTAAAGGCTCATTGCTGTATTTCTGCATAAAATGTACACTGCTCACAAGAATTAAAGGAACACTTTTTCTGTTGGGTCTGGCATGAAATCAATTAAACCTGTCTGATAATTTCCTGGTTGATTAAGCAGCTGGGGGCATTGTTAATCACTTTCAGCTGTATTGGTGTTCATGGACTTAACGACAGGTGCACTAAAGTGGCAACAATTACAAGACAGGACTGGTTTCACATGTAGAGGTCATTTCAAGTTTCTCCCTCTTGATCTTTTTTGGCAGGGTTTCCACTTGTGCTAGTTTTGGCTCTCTACTGGCAGCATGAGGCGATTCCTTTACCCTACAGAAGTTGCACAGGTTGTCCAACTTCTCCAGGATGGCACATCCACACGTGCTGCAGCAAGAAGGTTTAATGTGTCTCCCAGCACAATCTCCAGAACATGGAGATTTCAAGAGACTGGCAGTTATTCTCAGAGAGCTGGACAGGGCCGTAGAAGGTCCACAACCCATCAGCAGAACCGATACCTGCTCCTTTGTGCAAGGCGGAAAAGGCTGAGCACTGCTCGTGCCCTACAGAATGACCTCCAGAGGGCCACTGGTGTGAATGTCTCTACCCAAACAATCAGGAACAGACTTCATGAAGATGGCCTGAGGGCCCGACGTCCTGTAGTGGGCCCTGTGCTCACTGCCCAGCGCCGTAGAACTCAACTGGCATTTTCTCAAGAACACCAGAATTGGCAAGTCCGCCACTGGCGCCCTGTACTTTTTACAGACGAGAGCAGGTTCCCCCTGAGCACCTGTGATAGATGTGAAAGAGTCTGGAGAAGACAAGGAGAATGTTATGCTGCCTGCAACGTCGTTCAGCATGACAGGTTTGGTGGTGGGTCAGTGATGGTCTGGGGAGGCATATCCATGGAGGGACGCACAGACCTCTAAATGGTGCTCTGACTGAATTCCTTGAACCCTTTGTCAGACCCTACGCTGATGCAGTAGGTCCTGGTTTTCTCCTAATGCACGACAATGCCCGGCCTCATGTGGCAAGAGTATGCAGACAGTACCTGCAGGATGAAGGAATTGAAGCAATTGAATGGCCTTCACGATCCCCTGACTTAAACCCAATAGAACATCTGTGGGACATTATGTTTTGGTCCATTAGGCGGCGCCAGGTTGCTCCTCAGACTGTACAAGAGCTCAGGGATGCCCTCACACAGATCTGGGAGGAACGTTGTCAAGCATACACGCAAGCTCGTGGGGGCCACACAAGATACTGAAAAGCAATTTCAGTTGCAGAAATTAAGTTTTTGAAATAATGGACTAGCCTGCCACATCTTCATTTCACTCCGATTTTAAGGTGTCTACACAATTGAGCCCTCTGTAGGCTGACAAATTTTATTTCCATTAAAAGACTTGGCATCCTTTTGTTCCCAAGACATTGCCCTGTCGTTATTTGTATAGATATCCAACTTCGTATTGAGATCTGATGTATCTAATGTGTTTCTTTAAAGTGTTCCTTTAATGCAGTGTATGAAACAGATGAACATTCACACAGCTGAACATGTTTAGTCTCATCTGAGTTGTTTATCCTACGTGAACCAAGTCGGTCCAGGCTGCACCTGGGGGTAGGAGAATGCTCCCCAGCAGAAGAAACAGATTATCACGAGTGCAAAATATGGGATAAAGTGGATTTGTGTGTGTGTGTGTGTGTGTGTTTGTAGAACCATTTCAGAAGCTGCAGAGATGTCAGCCTGTGGTTTCC